TCTATTTATGAAATCGATTGAAAAGTAGACACAGCACTTTATCGATTATTCTGTAAATACATTATATTTTATATTCCACATTCCAACTCAGATATGTCAATTTTAATACTACTTTATGAAATTTACACTGTAAAATATGAATTGGCCACAGTTTATCAACTATCTGTATAGAACAAACGGCTTCAAAAGAAACTATAATATAAATGACATTAAACTGTCAAAAAATAGTGATATGTCATCAATTGGTCTAAAAATCTAAGAAATTGGCGACGATTAGTTTTCAATGTATAGAATGCAAATTATATAATTCAATTAAAAGCTCTAGCTGTTTAAAGGTGAACCTCAACTGTTTTGTCTTTAGTTTTCACTTGTAAACAAAAACATATAAAAGTATATGTTTCATCCAAAGTTTCATCTCGTAAGGTCCTAATGACTCATTGCTCCAAATGTATTAATATTTAAATTTGATGCATTTGTTTCAGAAATAGACATTTAAAAATTTGAAAAAATTGATGGGTACACTGTACTTCAAAACAAGTGTACTATGTAGCCTCATTGAATAATATACAATTAGATTTTCACATCAACATACATAATGTTTAATTCTGCCTCATCTTTTTCAACAGTTGATAATAAACCCCATTTTGGTCCCACATATTTTTTTTTTAGTTTTGTGCATGCGCATCAAATAATCATGACAAATTCAAAAACAGACTTGACAGAGGTGTAAAAACATAATAACTCACTTAATTGACCCTGCATCTGATCCTGATGAAGGTTCTGTAAGACAGAAAGCTGCATATTCACCTGATGAAACTCTTGGAAGGTATTTGGCTTTCTGCTCAGGAGTGCCATAAAGAAGAATACCTTTGAAACCTATAGATTGATGGGCACCCAGTGTTATACCCACACCTGGTGAAAAAGGTTAATATCATCAGTATCATAGTTAAAAATTGATTTATTATTTCTGTACTAAATTGCTGCTGCTACTCCAGTTTTCCCGGAATTCACAGTTGGAAAACTCTAAAGAAAACCACTGTCCCTTCGATGTTTGAAAAAAGAAAAACTTCCAAACAAAAACATTTTTCATGAACATTGATTACACAAGAATCAGTTTTTCTTTCTCAATTTGTAACCCAAATNGATTATTGTGTCTTGTAACCCTCAGTGACGTCATTTCATTATATGTTGTCATTATATGTTTATTGTATTGTTGACATATTCTGAAATGAAGATGATAATTACAGAAGAGAAACGAGCTGACTTCATTCTCCTTGAAATGGTATTCCATATTGTAGATGAGATTCGATTAGTAAATAATTATTCTGGTATGGAAACCTGGCTTGTTAATTCGAAACTTGTCTTCAGGAATTTTTCAACAAAACTCTGTTTTGATATATTTTTAAAATTTTTATGATTTATCTTTATATCTTAAACTTGTATGAAATTGGTTTGTGAACAAGAACTTAATACTCCTGAACAATAAAGTATATTAATGTATCTATCTTACCACAGCCACTGCTTTTGCAGACTGAGCAAGGTCTTTATGAACGAGGTGGTCCATGGCTGGTGGTGAACCTAACCCAACTTTTCTCCCCACCCTCTTGGAGGCTTCCTCCAGAATCAATCCTAGATTGGCGGTTGGGTTTTTGAAAGCATTCTGTAATTCTTTCAAGTGAGCTCCGGCATACTGAATTCCAGTTAAAGCTACGAATAGTCTCAAGATATCATTTGTTCCTTCAAATATCCTGAATATCCTCAAGTCTCTCATTACCCTCTCCAGTCCTGTCTCCTTCATGAATCCAGTGCCACCCAAGATCTGGATGGCCTCATCACATACATACCATGCTGATTCGGAAGCAAAACACTGCAACGAAAATTGTGTGGTTGGTTATGAAAAAATTAATAATTTGTTTCTGAAAAATGAGTTCAATACAGACCCAAACTGAAGAAAATTCAATGATTAAAAATAACGAATCTAACGATGATAAATCGTTGTCTGCAATTTTTTTAATAAAAGGAGATAAAAGAGTCGCCATTTTTACATATGGACGTCAAATCTGTATTGAGATTTTTACAATTTCATGCCATTTGTCTGTCCTATGGGGCCATTCACTATTTTCCATTCTTACTTGTTATGTTGTTGTTTGTGATTCAATACTGTTTATGTGTTGAAAACAAAGAACAAAACTCTGGGTTTCACTTTTATAGTAAAAAAATTAATGTTTTTATTAAAACAACGATAAAAATAAAATAAAAACAACAATAAAAATTAATTGGCGCTCCGGGGCGACTTCATTGATTCCAGTGGCGCATTTGCTTTTTCAGCTGCAGGAAAACCCGGAAAAACCTGCAGCACCACATCATCTGAAGATCTTGATCTAACAATGTCCTCTCTCTCATAAAACAAAATGTAGGGTGTCTCCAGAGGCTCCAATAAATTCAATGCATCGCCAGAACACTTCGTGACACGAC